TGTGCGTGTGGGCAATTTCAAGCTTGGGTTGCAGCCATTGTAGGTGGTGTTGAGTCAAACTTTTGATCTAATCCTTGGTATGGATTGGTTGTAATGCAATCATGCCAAGTGTGACTTTCAGGCTTCCCCCTTGTCTCATACTTCTTTATATTTCATCCATTCCTCTCACTTTTGTACCTCTTCATCCCTCTACTTCTACTTTTGCTTCAATTACTTTTGTCCCCCCACTATTTCCTCCTATGTTTCTATCTTGTTTTGCTCTTCCCTTTTCCGATCCCTCTGACAATTTTTGCATTGTAGTAGTTGACCAGTTCATGAAGGAGTATTTTGATCTCTTTGAATTTAACCTATTGTCTGGGGCCAAGATTGCCATACGTCATCCAATTTCAACCGGGGATGCTTGTTCAATCAAGGTTCCTGTTCATCGTCAGTCACCCAAAGAGATCAAGATTTTACGTGCAAACATGAAAGAGATGTTGAAGAAGGGTGTTATTCAGAAGTTGCAGAGTCCTTAGGCATGTGAATCTCATCTTGTGACGAAGTCTGATAGAAGTATTAATTTTTGCATTGACTATTGTTTAGTAAATGAAATGACAATCCCAGATGTGTACCCTCTTCCTCACATTGCTGATCTCTTAGATCATCTGGGGTGAAGTCATTACTTCACCAAGCTAGATTTTGCTTTTGGGTACTAACAAGTGCTGATGGCTGAAGAAGATATTCCTAAGACTGCTTTTCATATATCATTTAGTTTGTACGAGTTCTTGGTGATGCTGTTTAATTTGAACAATGCTTTAGCAACTTTTCAGCGGATGATAGATGAGGTTCTTTGTGATATGCTGGAGGTGATTGCTGACTTCATTGATGATGTCTTGATCCACTCGGAGGGGATGTGGGAGGGGCACATTCATGATATTTGTAAAGTGTTGAATCGGCTACGGGACGTTGGTTTAAAACTGAAGTGGTCGAAGTACGTGTTTGGGTCTAAGGACACAACTTATCTTGGGTATTGTATTTCTCGTGAGGGTTTGCAAGTTGATCTTGACAAAATTGTAGCTATTCTAAAGTTCCTTACTCCAAAGTGTGTGAATGATGTGAAGCACTTCCTAGGCAAGGTGCAATATATTGGCCATTTTATGGATCATTTTTCTGATCACACTACACCGTTGCGAACATTGCTAAAGTCATTAACGTCATCTTTCATTTAGTCTCCAGAATGTGAGTAGGAATTTGTGGATTTCAAAGAGTTATTGACAACTACTCTAGTTTTGGCATATCGTGACTACACTCAACTTTTTATTTTGTGCGTGAATGCTTTTCATATTGATCTTGGAGATATGTTGATGCAAGAGAGCTTGAGTGTGTTTGGTTAGCACTATCCCATTGTGTATATAAATTGTACATTACAACCAACAGAGGTGAACTACTCCATGATAGAGAAGGAGTGTTTAGTAGTAGTCTGGGCTTTCGAGAAACTTTATGCATATCTACATGGTTCTCAAATGTTACTTGAAGGTGATCATGCTGCCCTTACTTCATTATTGAAGTGAAAGAACTTGGTTAGTTGTACTTCTCGATAGGCTTTGAAACTTTAGATATATGATTTTGATGTTGTTCATCGCTCAAGGAGTTTTATGGTTAATGTTGATGCCCTTTCTTGAGCTCCTCTTTCTTTTCCACTCTCTTCTTATGTTTCTGATGAGCCTGTTATTCTGGCATCTGTGGATTTTTATAAATGAGGATTCTATACCGTTGGCGGTTGCTATACTTAACGTTCAATGTCGACAAGGTATAGAGCAAGATTTAGCTTCTCTTTGATGAGATTCGCGAGGCTCAAAAGCTTAAGCCATGGATTTGAAGGCTTCGAGATGGGTTTGAGAATCCTACATCACTTGCTAATGACTTATCATTTTGGCATTTACATTTTTAGTATCACCTTGAAGACAACCTTCTTTATTTTGTGGGGATGAATCCTAATGATCCTTTACGACTGATGGTGCCTTCTGACTTTGTTCCACGGTTTCTCCATGCCTACCATAATTCTCCTATTCTAGGCGGGCATATAGGACATCGTCATGTGACCGAGAACCTGTGCAAGTCTTTCTATTGGCCAAAGATGTGATGTAATGTTATCCTATATGTGTGTTGCTATGTTTGGTGCCAAACTCATAATACTCCCCTTCGTGCTGTGGAAGAACGGTTGGAGTCAATTGCAGTTTCCTGTCCATTTAAGTTGGTGGCATTTGATCTTATTTCCATAATTGATTATTGGCAATAAATATGTTATTATTGTTTTTGATTATTTAACTCGTTGGATGGAAGTTGATGCTTTTACTAGTGCCTCTGCAACTGCTATTGGATACTTTCTTCTCAATCGAGGGGTGTTTCAGCATTTTTGTCCGAAGCAAATTCTTTTCAATAATGGTCCCACATTTATGGTTGAGGCATTTCATGTTTTGACATCTTGGTTGGGGATACACCCCACTTTCACGAGTACTTATCATCCACAGTCAAACGGTTTGGTGGAATGGCTCATTTGGACATTCAAAGGAATCATCACGAAGTACATGAACTTTTAGCATTTAGATTGGGATGGTTATTTGCCATCTCTTCGGTATGCATATGTCACAGGGCTGCAGAGTTCTGTTGGTGCTTCACCATATAAATGTAAGGAACCAACTCGCCGAGGTGTCGTAGGCTAAAGGAACCCCGAAAGCATGACCAAAATGACAAAGAGTTCATCGGATGGGACCAAGTCGAAAATCGAGTCCAAGACCGACTCGGAGACCGAGTTCGAGATAGAGTCCGGAATCGAGTCCGAGACCGACTCGGGGACCGAGTTCGAGACCAAGTTCGAGACCGAGTTCGAGATGGAGTCCGAGATCCGAAATCGGGTCCGAGACCGAGTCCGAGGTCGAGTCCGAGGTCGGGTCCGAGATCGGGTCCGAGATCGAGTCCGAGATCGAGTCCGAGGTCGGGTCCGAGATCGGGTCCGAGATCGAGTCCGAGATCGAGTCCGAGACCGAATCCGAAGTCGGATCCGAAATCAAGTCCGAGATCGAGCCAGAGACTAAGTCCAAATACTAATACGGGTCAAGGGGTGAAAGCCCAAAGCATGTGTCTCCCGGGGGGGGGGGGGGGGGGGGGGGGGAGTTTTTTTTTCCGGGGTTCCAAAAGTATAGTAAGGATAGTGAGGTCCAAGAACCATGTTTTGAAGGGACTCTCCAGTGGGGCTTCCAAACCGACTTGAGGTTGAGACTAGGACCCGAGGGGCCTTGGGTG